TTTCTCTCATTTGACCACAACACTTTCACCCAGTTCTCCTCTGAATCATTCAGATTTTCATTAGCAAACTTCAGATGGGCCTGTACATGTGCTTTCTTGAGGGATACCTAGCGGGTGCTGCAGGATTCCAGTCCTTCACGGCGTAGTGTGTTACCAATTGTTTTCTTGGTGACTATGGTCCCAGCTGCCTTGAGATCATTAACAAGATACTCCCATGTAGTTCTGGGCTGATTCCTCACCGTTCTCATGATCATTAAAACTCCACGAGGTGAGATCTTGCATGGAGCACCAGACCAAGGGAGACTGACAGTTATTTTGTGTTTCTTCCATTTGCAAATAATCTCACCAACTGTTGTCACCTTCTCACAAAGCTGCTTGGCGATGGTCTTGTAGCCCATTCCAGCCTTGTGTAGGTTTACATTCTTGTCCCTGACATCATTGGACAGCTCTTTGGCTTAGCCATGGTGGAGAGTTTGGAATCTAATTGATTGCTTCTGTGGACAGGTGTCTTTTATACAGGTAACGAGCCAAGATTAGGAGCACTCCCTTTAAGAGAGTGCTTCTAATCTCAGTTTGTTACCTGGGAGACAGAAATCTTGCTGATTGATAGGGGATCAAATACTTATTTCACTCATTGATATGCAAATTAATTAAAGACTTTTTTGACATGTGTTTTTCTAGATTTTTTTTGTTATTCAGTCTATCACTGTTAAAATACACCTACCATTAAAATTATAGACTGATCCTTTGTCAGTGGGCAAACATTCAAAATCAGCAGGGGATCAATTACTTTTTTCCCTCAGTGTAAACACAGAAAAATATAGAATATGAGATCTGCAGCGGGACCTGTCCAGACTAACTTGGCCATTTCTAGACATCCTACAGCGCCGGCGCATGCTATAGGCCGATTAGGCGGCCGCCTATGGCGCTTCTTAAGGGTGGACGCCCATAAGAAGCGCCCCTCTATGTGGGACACATTCTATATTGTGTGCCACAAGTCTAGCACTGGGCGCTAGTGAGCACTTAAACGGCTGCAAACTAGCACCCCTGTGACTTCAATCTTATCACGCAAACACCTCTCATATGCTGGCAGCGCTCACAATCGCTCCTGCTCCTTGCCCTGTACTCTGGTTCAAGTGGGCGGGAGGGTGGCAGGAGCGGAGCTAAAAGAGAGTCAAGACAGCCAAGGTCTGGACTGGGACCCACGGATAGACTATTTGAAATGAAGGCAAGTGGGGGACTTCATGGTGTGTGTGTCAGCCTGTTTCAGTCAGTATGTTTAAGTATGCTTAGGTCTGTGTGTGTGTCTGCTTGGGTCTCTGTGTGTGTCTTTGATCAGTGTGTGTGTCTGCTTGGGTCTGTCTGTGTGTGTCAGTTTGCATCAGTCAGTGTGTGTTTGGGTGAGTGTGTGTGTCTGCTTGAATCTATGTGTGCCAGGATCAGTGTGTGTGTCTGCTTGGGTCTGTGTGTGTGTGTGCGCTTGGATCTGTGTGTGTCTGCTTGGGTCTGTCTGTGTGTGTGTCTTGATCAGTGTGTGTGTCTGCTTGGGTCTGTCTGTGTGTGTCAGTTTGCATCAGTCAGTGTGTGTGTGTGTGTGCTTGGGCCAGTGTGTGTGTGTGTGTGTGTCAGTCTATATGAGTCAGTGTATGTCTGCTGGAGTCAGTGTGTGTGTGTCACTCTGCGTGAGTCAGTGAATTTGTGTGTGCAATGGTCACTGATTGTGATTGTGTGGACCATTCAGTGTGAGTGAGTGTGTATAAGTATGTAGTATTAGTGATTGTATTTGGACAAAAAAGACCATTTTAATAAAGAAAAAAAATATATTTTAAAGGAACACTGTAGTGTTAGGAATATAAACCTGTATTCCTTCATGATGGACTGGAACCACGTGGCCTGAGAAGCTGCCATTTTGTACTAGATTACGCTGCTTTTGATGACCTGTTGTCTCCTAGCTTTGTTATATTTTATTTTCTCTCATGTTGCATGCTCTGTGTCTCACACATTCTGATTGCTGTCCCAGCGGAAATTCAATCCTAGTCATATGTTTTATGAGCAGATCATACTTGTGTTTGATAATTTAAAATATGTGCAGGTGCTTCTAATGCCATGATGGTTTCCTTCTGTTTATATCAATATAATGCATGTTATAGCAAGATCATATCTCAGTTACTAGCCAGACTAGATACCTTACCAACAAATGCTTGAATTTAACCCTGCCTAGCCAGTCACCCAGCCTGAGCATATCATACTTTTGTTTTATAATTTTAAAAAATATGTGCAGATGATTCTAATGCCATGATTGTTTCCTTCTGTTTAATTCTACTGTTCTTGCACTAGCTGTCGTGGCAGCGCAAGCATGTGTGGTGTGTTATTGTGTGCACACCAAAAATAAAGAATTTAAAAAAACAACCAAAAAAAAACAAAAAAAACAACCTGTATTTCGAAATAGTGTCTTTGTCCCTACATAGATTCAATCCCCAACATAAAAATCATTTTTAAAAAAAGGAGGCGGGTTACTTACATTTATTAAGCACCGACTCCCTCTTCACTGCTTGTCTCCTTACCTCACTTAATGTCACTGATGGTGAAACGCTGATTCAGTGGCGAATACAGAGGGGCACTCATAGATTATTGCCCCGTTGCCCCCCCTGGATGTGCCACTGCACTGGTCCAACCCAATGTTTCTCATACAGGAGCATTGGGGACTTGATGCACATAAGTGGCAAGCCCAACGCACTTTCAACACTTCATATAGTAAAACATGGCTTTGTAGCGGATGCACCTCTAGTGGCTTGTTTAACCCTACAAGCAGTGGCGTACATACCAGGGTCGCAGGGGTCGCGGCTGCGACCGGGCCCGGCCCACCAGGGGGCCCGGCCGCCCCAGCGACCCGGTATGTAGCCACAGGGCCAGCCTCTTCCCCTGGGGGGCCCAGGAGCCGGCCACCCCAGGGCCCCCCTGAGGCTGGCCCTGCTGACCCCGGGTGGCCGGTCGGGCAGGCAGGCGGGCGCGCGAGGGAGCACTCAGTGCCTCCTCTTCAGCTCCCTCGCGCACCGCAATGATACCGGAGCCGGAAGATGACGTCATCTTCCGACGCCGGCATCCCTATGCGGCGCGCAAGGGAGCTGAAGAGGAAGCACTGAGTGCTCCCTCGCGCGCCCGCCTGCCTGCCCGACCGGCCACCCGGGGTCAGCAGGGCCAGCAGAACCACTGGACCCCAGGGAATCCCCCCAGCACTCCAAAAGGTAAGGAGGCTGGGGGGATTAAATTAAAAAAAAATGTGTTAGTGTGTGTGTGTGTGTTAGTGTTAGTGTGTGTTAGTGTGTGTGTGTGTGTTAGTGTGTGTGTTAGTGTGTGTGTGTGTGTGTTAGTGTGTGTGTGTGTGCTAGTGTGTGTGTGTGTGTGTTTGTGTGTTAGTTTGTGTGTTAGTGTGTGTGTTTGTTTGTGTTCGTGTGTGTGTCAGTGAGTGTGTCTGTTATTGGGTGTGTGTCTGCTAGTGAGTGTGTTACTGTGTGTGTGTTACTGAGTGTGTTTGATGTCTGTTAGTGAGTGTGTGTTTGTCAGTGAAAGTGTATGTTTTGTAAGTGAGTGTGTATGTATGTCTGTCGCTGAGTGTGTCTCTGTCAGTAAATGTTTGTGTCTGTTAGCTAGTGTGTATGCGTCTGTTCGTGAGAGTGTGTGTGTGTGTCTTCAGCATTTACCTTTCTCCAGCGTCGGACTCCCTTGGCGCTGGGGATCCCTCCGCCTCTCAGCTCCGAATGCACACGCGCAGCAAGAGGCGCGCGCGCATTTAAACCGCCATAGGAAAGCATTACTCAATGCTTTCCTATGGACGTTCAGTGTCTTCTCACTGTGATTTTCACAGTGAGAATCGCGGAAGCTCCTCTAGCAGCTATCAATGAGACAGCCACCAGAGGCTGGATTAACCCTCAGTGAAACATAGCCGTTTCTATGAAACGGCTATGTTTTCAGCTGCAGGGTTAAAACTAGAGGGACCTGGCACCCAGACCACTTCATTGAGCTGATGTGATCTGGCTGTCTGTAGTGGTCCTTTAAGTGTGTGTGCATACCGCGGTCGCGGGGTCGCAGCCCTGCAACCCCTGCGACCAGGTGCCCACCGCCATGTGTTGCGGCCCCAACCCATGCCGAGTAAGCGCAGGGGTGGGGGGGGGCCCACGGATCAATTTTCGCACCGGGGCCCCATGGGTCATGTGTACGCCACTGCCTACAAGGTAAGGTAATGTTTTATCTTGTGGGGTTAAACATATAGGACCACGGTGGAGCGAATGTGGCAGCAATATTGTTTTGCCTAGGGTGGCAAAAATCCTTGCACTGGCCCTGCCATCCTATTATTACCAGTGTTAATATGGAGCAAATCCCATAAACCCTTGTATAGGTGTGTGTGTGTATATATATATGCGCACACACACAGATTCGGTCAGTAGCATGAACACAAGGGAGTATGGCGGTAACGGATTTAGGAGACACAAGGTGGTAAGAGGAATTAAAAGGCACAACATGCTGTAAATAAGCAGGGTTAAGCGAGACACACAATGACACACAATGGGTAAGGAAAGGTTAAGCAGCAATGAAGGGATAGCTACATGGTTAGGAGATACACACCAAGGGGTATGGTGTTAGAAAGTGAAACAAAGAGGGGTAAAGTGACACAATGAAAACAAAAAACAAAAAAAAAACCCCAGATACCACTCAAGCGGTTCAACAACTCTATTCCATCACTGGTGCCACATAACCTCTAGTTGGGCCTTGTATAGATTGAAAGGTATGTGCCAATACAGTAGTTGCAAATGCTTGCACGAAAATAAAAAAAAATACACAGAGCCGGTCTTGAATATTGATGTGGACATTTTTTTAACAAAAAAACATCTGATATATGCCTCATAATGTGAATATAATCGTGCTTGTTTTGCATCAAATAAAACAGGGTTTAAGTTGGTTGACAAGAGAAGAGATTAAAAAACGTGTGATTCCATATTTACCCGTTTTAAATATTCTTGAGAGTACTTTAAAGTGTCGATGATAGAAATGCCTGAAAGGTTAAAATGCTGGCTGCAGGACCCAGAATTCAGTTTTAGATGTTCCGCTTTGTAAAAGAGGTGACGGCTTGTGGAATCAGCCTGTGGCTCCAAAACATATGCTCTGTTTTCAAGTGTAATTAATCCCCTGAAAATAAACAAAGTGGTTACTGGTGTAATTATTTCTAAAAATCCTATATTCATTATTTATATGCAGAAATATCTTTTTTATTTTCCTAACAAAAAGACAGCTGCAGGAATCTGTTGTAAGACAAACTTGGGCCTCAGTTGCGTATAATTTACACAAGAGAACCATCCCCAGTTCAAAAGCGTACTGTGGTATAACATCACATGTGGATGCATTTTATTAAAGAGCAATTTTACATACACATTCTGTTAAAGAACAGTTGCATAGGATTTCTACGAGAAGCACAAATTTGAATATTTTTAAACTTGCTGGTTTTAACCAATTTATCCTTGAACACATTGTGTGGGTGAATTTAGAGGGAGGTTTAATGGAGTTTTGAACTGGAATTCTCAAATAAAGTGTGAAGAGGTTTAGTACTTATTAGGCTCATTACACATGGTTGGGGGTTAAGAAAAATGATTTTATGCCTCTCTGTTCAAATGTACTGAATAGTTATCTCCACGCATGAGGTGAGGGGATATCAAGACCATATGTCAGTAGACAGACATGGTTAGGGGGTTGAGGAAATACACATTTTTTTCTTATTTAAGTTAAGCATTCCATAGTTCAAAATGCAAAAGACACAATGGGACAAGATGGAAGTCTCAGTCCCAGTTACACTATATGATTAACCTCTCACAACCCTCCATGTGGAAAGAAAGGATTAGGGGACGACGAGAATTTAAAAAAAAATTCACTGCACCCTAACTTTGAACAAGGCAGGGTGGTAGGAGGGAACAGTATTTTCAGTGATGTGGATGATATGAGATTCTGGGGCACTTCTCTCCATTTAATAAACTCATCCATCTTTATTTGCGTTTCTTTTTTAGCAGAGTAAATTGTAATAATATTAGATTAATGCGGAGAATTACATTTGAGGTCTGTATTCTGCCAGATGTTCATACGGGGGGAAAACGTAGAAAAAAAAAAATAAATCAGTTAAAAGCCATTTTCAATAGGTAGAGGACTAATGCCAATTTCTGTTAATTACAGTGATTAAGGCATCACTGTGAGAAAACACTGTGTTAATTAGAGCATATTGTGAAGGTCATTGTTTGCTGAATAGTTGTATAATGAAGTTAAAAAATAAATAAATCACGAAATCAACACATTTACCAACTCTGAAACATAAAGGAGTTAATTGGTTTTGCTCCACTTGGGTATTTTGGCTTAACGGTTTGAGTTCCAGAGAAGCAAGCAATACTTTGCATTTGTTTCTTTTTATAATATGAAATCAAAAGGTTTAAATAAATAATTAGATATAATCTAGCTATGTTGGTGACTAAAAGGGAGCCAAAATGCTTAATGGAGACTCTAGTCTAGTGCTTAATTGGATCAACAGTTGTGAGACCGTATGATTCTAGCCTTTTTAAACCTTCCTTTCTTGAAAAGAACTACACGGATGTAATGTATCTTGAATGAAACACAGTGGCAGAGATTAACAGTCTGGTACTGATGTAATGGCTATCCAACTCAATCGTAATGTCTTTAGCTAAGATGGGTAAGGCGCCGTATCATTTCTGCTTGAAGAAACTACTAGCTGAGACTTTACTACATTTTACAGTTGGTGCTTCAACCAACTGAGTTATCTCACATGTAAAGCAGGCCTTGAACAAGGAAACGTAACCGCGGGTAGGTGAGATGATGTGGACTAGGATGGTCAGATGAGTCTTTTTAACGGAGGGTGTTTCTAAAATTGCATCATGTTGGGCATTTATTTGAAAACAGTGCCGTGCTGTACCTTTTTTCAGAACAGAATCAGGTTAGAAAGGAAGCACTAGCTTTAATGTAGTTCTGCCTTAGAAGTACTTGCAAACATACATGGATTGACTTGAAGAGATCACTTTGGCATTTCCAAAAACAAAAAAAACAAAAACCACAAAACAAACAAACAAACAAACAAAAAACACTTGCAGGGTTATTTACTAAAGAGAGAATGTAAAGTCAATTCAAAGTGAATTTCAAATTTAAGGCCAGAGTAGCCAAACTGAAAGCTTAGCCGACTTAGAGAATGTTTCTAGTTCGGCTATTTTGACCTTACATTTGAAATTCACTTTGAATTGCCCTGAATTCTCACTTTATGGGATAATCCTGCGATAAAATGAATTAAATAATGATAAAACCAGAAGAGGTTACCAAGACTCCTACAAAACAGTCCAAGTATACTTGGATTCATCAAAAAAACAAGCATGAATCTAGGCTAGGCTTTGTGTTTACATTTTTCAATGAATGTGAAATATGCAGTTTAGTTATGTAGCCTTTAATGTGATATGGAGGGGCTGTACATTTAAATGCTTAGAGCTACTTACCTGAGGCCAGCACAACAGCTAAGACTGACGTCAGAATCATGGTACCCCTCCACCTTCCCATGGTAGTAGCAGCTTTCCTAAATTAACAAAGAATACAAAATTAGGTTTTATAAAATAGGTGTTAGAGATACTTTGAGTGTGTTCCGTCTGCAAACTGTAACAGGAATGGTCACATTCATTTTGTGGGGAATATGCTATGAATATTGTATAATATACATTCACTGAACAGCTCTTTCCACTTTAAAGAGAAAAGGCTAAAAAGAATAGGATATTCTATCCAATTAATCACTCTCCATCTTTAATTCATCTCTGACAAGTCGTATAATATATTGTTATTATTTTTAAGTATTTTTACATTCCAGTTTTCTTGTTTTACTTTGAGAAAGTATCATAACACCAAGTGTATAGTAATAGGAAAAAAACAAAAAAGTAAAGAAAAAAAATAAAGGTTCGCCCATCTAGTTTCAATCTTCTGCCGCAAATACCCATCTGTGCTTTTCATATGCTATACTTATTGAAAATATTAATCCTGTGTCTACAAATAATTCCACTTTGAATTGGTCATATTTACCAGTGGGGCTATTTCGCACCCTCTACTATGTCTAATTCCAGTTTATGACCTCAGCGCGTTCTCTAATGGTTGGATAATAAAGTTAGATATTAAGCAGTCCAGTCACACTTTCTGGCTGAGCAGATTCCTTTGAATTTGGAGAAACCTGCTACACAGCCTCTATAAGTCTGTTCATCTGCAAACACTTTATGTAAAATCCAACACTAAGCAAGTTAAACAAGCACATAGAAACACTACACCATTGAATCCTATGTGTAACACATGATAACTATTTTAAAGAAAAGAAATGTACAAACAAACCTATGGCTAGAACTTGCACAGGGCTGGGGGATACACTTCAGTATGCATGGTCATGGAAAATTGGTTACTGGAAAAAGAGAACTGCGCTCACCAGGTAACATTCTATGATGTGATTAATAGACAGTAATTTAATTTTTTTTTTCATTTTAAAGATGGCACATTATGGTGTTCATGAAGCATAACTTACTTGGGGTGAATGTAGATCTAAATGGTGTTATTAACTAAAAGCTAATTATTTAGGACATTTCACGTTGATTTTGTTTATAAACAGACGTAAAGAAATGCAATATAATACATCTTTATGGTTATACAGGGATAGTCACAACCCAGGAACCACCCAAAAACCTACAAAATGATGTAAGAGGCTTAATGCATCTTAATGCATTCAATATTGCAGTTTAGGAGTAAGCTAACATACATTATAGGTGCACCCACATGACTATTATATACTGGTTACAATGAGGGTAATACACCTTTTTCTTCTTCCAGGCTTTTAGGTGGTTCCTGACTTGCAACTCACCCTGTAGAACATGGTAAAGGTGTCATCGGCTAGCCCAGAAATAGAATTCAGATTTTCGTACTGGCTAATGTCAATTCTGTGCAATTTTCTGTGCAACACTCTCAGCCAATGAATGTTGACTCAGCTCTCGCAGATTCGAACTTTTGCAGCTCTGCATAAGAAGAACATCATCACTGGACAAGCAAGGAGCATGGGAGCACAGCGAGGACCCAGATAAGGAGGAAAAACCATTGCTCAACTGTTTGCCCCATTACAAGGGAATCGGGCAAGGGCACTCTTCACCATAACTACTACAGCGGGATGTAGTGGTAGTGATGATTGGAGAAACCCTTTAAATAACAGAGCATGGACTTCTATATACATGATATATGGACGCTAGGATCTTGCATAATCTCCCATCTAAGGTGCCTCTCTCTAGTTTATTATGCTTATTATGGAATGTCCTTTAAGGTACTTCCGGTTGCCTAGTGGTATGCCTGAGCCAGCATACATTTAGTAGCTGAACTAAAAAGGATTTCTGTGTCAACGCCAATATTATCATTTATAACATATTCTGCAGTGCTGCACAACAGAGAAAAAACAAACATGAACAAGAGGTGAAAAAAGGTCTTGGTCAAAATAAGTTTTTAAGCTAGAGGAATTGATGTATAAACCCACAACCCACAAGCAATGTATCCAAAAGGGCATGAGATTTCCTGGTGTAAATAAAACTCTATGGACTCTTCGGTTTCTGTAGGACAAGCTGCAAAAACTATCAAGATTATAAGGACACGAGCTACATTTGGGAATGTTTAGATATCACTCAAATCAAATAGATGGAAATTCTTTATTGTTATACACAGGGCCGGACTGAGAAAAAAATTAGGCCCGGGCATTTTTCAATTAGAGCGGCCCCCAAGAAGGGGGCGGGGCCAGAGAGGGTGTGTTTTGTCATCACTAATGACAAGTACGCCCCTTCTGAAAGTGAGCATGTTGGTTCAATGCGCAGAGCCCAGCTGAAGAGCTCTAGCATTAGAAAAAGGCCCTGTATTTGTTCTGTGCAGCGCAAGCAAATTTAATAACATGCCTGCACTGTGTTTGCTTTTAAATTGTCTCTGGTGTCTCCACAAGTGGGATACCAGAGGATAAAAGGGCAAGGAAAGTGTATGGTGCATGTGTGTGGCGCATGCTTGTGGGATTGCCTGTGTGTGTAGAGTGTGGTGTGGTATTGTGTAAATAGGTCAATTTTGTGGTGTAATATGTGTGGCTAGGGGCTGTAGAG